CTCCCACCATGATATCTGCCTCGTTGGCTTTCCCCCCGGCTCTTTCCCATAAACACTCCACCCTTTCATCACCATCATTAAGCTCTAGACAGTCAAAACACTCCCTAACATAGAGGGCTACCCCGCCGCCTCTCCTTCCTTGCCTGTCCCTTCTGAACAGTTTATGCCCATCCATTGCAGCACTCCAGTTGCGCGAGTCACCCCACCACGTTTCTGTGATGGCAACTATGTCAGTTTTCCTGCTACACAATGGCTTCCAGCTCCTCCTGTCTGTTGCCCGTGCTGCGGGCATTGGTGTAGATGCAGTTCAGCTGGGCTATTGCTCCTGCCACCTTTTTGGAGGGAGAAGCCCCAATTCCTACATCACCATTCTCAGGCGCTTATGTGGTTTCTAATACATCCATAGCCCGTGCGTCTTTGCTACCGCATGGCTCTCCATCCCCTGCCTCCACCGAGACGGCAGACCGAAGGACCTCGCTAGCACGCTGTCCCTCAAACACTGGCATGTCGCCCCCCGGCTTATCTCTAGCGAGCCTGGTTTTATCCCTTTCCCCCTTCAAATCTCTCGTTTAAAGCTCTTTCAATGAGCCCTGCTAACTCCTGCGCAAGGATCCTTTTCCCGCTTCGAGGCAGGCGTACCCTGTCTGTCGCCTGCAGGCCTGCAGTCCTGTAGGCCGAGCCATGATCAAAAAACCCCAAATTCTGCCGCTGACACCAGGCTCGGAGCCAGGTATTGATCCGCTGGCTCTCCCTGGGTCTTCCCGCATCCTTCCCCGCAACTGGAAGGACAGAGGAGAACGCTGCTTGTGCTCCGGCTCCCTTAAGCCGTCGTCCCAAGGCCCTGAAGTCTCTCCTGATCGCCCCCGGACTTCTGGCTGCGACTTCCTCGCTGCCCACCTGGGAAATCGATAACGGACAGTAACCTACGGGCTGCACCAGGGCGGGAAGCTTCCTCTCCACGGCTTTAACCCGGGCCCCGGCAGGCACCAGGCCTCCCTGGGCAGCGGCTCCGGCCTGCACACTGGCGGGCGCCGAGCGGGCCGCGCCGGGCAGCACCGTGTCGCCACCGCCCCACCCCTCACGGCACCGGGCTCAGCCTGGCGGAGAGGGGACGGCGCCCCCTCCGCGTCCCGGGCCCCCTCTGCCCGCCGGCCCTCTCGGGAAGGCGGGGCGCCACTCCCGCCGTCTCAGGCTCTCTCTCCCCGGCCTGCCCACCTCCGCCCGCAGCTCTGCCACCAGGCGGAGCGGCTCCTCTACCCGGGCTCCGCTGCCGACCGCGCCGGCCCGGGGGCTGCT